AGGAAATACGGCCAGATGAGCTAATTCTACCTTATTATAAGGCTACATTAACAGAATCTTGCAAGTCTGAAAGTACAAATCTCCTGCTGTCTCCTTTACAGCCTGAGAAGGGATCCCTTCTGAGCTTTTTTCTACCCATTATGCAGCTGCGGGCTATGCCCTCTCTTATCTGATTGTTCCCCAGGCAGCATCTCTTTGTCCTGTTTCTCAAGGTCTTTCTCATATCATTACACATTTCCAACAGAGACTAACTTAGTCAAGTTGGTAAAAACAAAGAAATTGTGAATAGTTTCCAACAAGTCCTTAATTAGTAATCTATTTGTGAATTACTGCAGGCATACAGGAAGAAATTTATAGATCCTTCTACTTTCAATGGCGACACGTGGATAAAACAACAGGAATACTTACAAAAATTGAGATAGACAAACTTTGTTAACAGTGAAGGGAACAGTCGAATAGCCAATGGTATAGAGACATACATAATAAATAGATTCAGTAACACCTTCTTGACTATAGGGATATAATCCAGAAGTCTCCTAGTGAAAAAAAAAAAGATGGAATGAGATTTAATTTATTGTTGCTTATAATAATTATTATATTGCTTACAGCAATAATTCAAGGACAAAAGGCTACTAGTTGTGATGGTTATATATTACTTCCAGTAAGTGGAAGTGGTTTATATAAGAAGCATGGTTAAACAAACTCTGGTTTACTACAAGATGTAAACCAGTCCTAAACAGGGCAGCCCACTCCATGTTGAGCTATTGCTCTGATCTGGACCTTGGTAATGATCCAATTTGAAGTGGCACTGACTCAAAAAATCAAGGAGCTCCATGTCAATACCTCCAGGGGGCCAGCTTGATTTCACTCCACCAAACTGAGCTTTTGCTCTTCTGCAGTGCACAGAAGCATCTTTTGGCAACTGAACTAAAGGAAAATACTGTTTCAATCTGGGATGCTATTTCAATCAAAGTTTAATCAAATCAAAGGGCCCTGTCAAAGTTCCACACAGCCTTAGTGTGAACCTACTCTGTATTGCAGGCTCAGGCTGAAGACAGATATAGTTTTAGGAGCAACAAAGTAATTTTAAAATCTGCTGTTCCCAGCATATTTGGAGCAAACTAGTTATGACCCAAGCCTGCCTATATGGCTTCTAGTGGTGGAATCAGCTTCATGATGCTTTGTCCTATCTCCAGAATTTGGCAGCTATTTATAATTTGTATGCTACTGTTGTCGTCGTTGCCAATACAAAAGATAACCATCTATGCTTACAAAGACCTATATGTTGCTCTCCCTCTAAAAGTAATTAAAAATAAAAGTGGACAGAGCACCTGAGGGAGCATTAAGACCTCAAAATGATTCAGACTAAGTTCTCACATAATACTAACCCATAATTCGCTTAACCAAGATAAACAAAAACTGTGCAGTTGTGTTCAAAGAATTGCTTTATCAAAAAGCAAGCAAACACACTTCCAGTGAGGATTCATGGTGAACTAGAATAAACAGCAAAAGGATGATTAGAACGTAGATTTTGGAAAGTTACAAATGGACTAAGGATTCAGATGGATTTGAAATAAGATTTTGAAATTAATTATAAGAATCCTTCCCAAGGGAAAATGCTATTGTTTTGAATTCTTAAAAAAAAGTGATAGGATGGGACTTCGACGGTTGGACACTAGAGAGAACCCGAAGGAACTAAAGATTACAATTAAAGGAGAACAACACTTAAATCTGACTTAATAATACAGAATGGAACAAAATACTTTAACATTGGACATATTGAAGGATATTTCTGAACAATGGACCCAGAAATGAACTTTAACGATGTCTGCCATTATAGATAGATTGTGTTTAAACGATGTTATGAAAGAGGAACAAGTTTTACTGGACAAGACTGACTTGAAAGTGGATTTAGAAATGACAGGCTACAAGAATGACATGGGAAAAAATGCTACATTGGATATACAAAAGAAACTGGCTGATAGAGATATACAAATAACAAGCCAAGAGCGTGACCTGGATTTTCTATAGAAACTTGTTAATATTTTGAAGGATTTTATGAGAAGGGATAAAGAAAAAAATGAAAAGAAATCAAGTTCTAGGACATTATTTGAAGGGTTTAAATATCAAGACTGTTAAAAGTAAAAGGAAGGAATATATAGTTGGATTATTTGATCAAGGTTAAAAAAGATAAGTTGTTATCTCTGGTAACCCTTAGTGTACCTTTGCTGTCCAGGTCTGAATGATGAGGATTTAAGGATTTGTTTATAGATAAGAGATGAGATACAGGAAAAAGATATCATTTGTTATATTTTAAGGTGATAAGTTACTAAAATTATTTATACTTGTGATGAAGAGGGAAGCCATTTGTTTATATATTTCTTTTCTTTTTCTTTACTATACTTATTTTTTCTTTCTTTTCTATTTTTCAATTTTTTCCTTTCCTTTATCTTTTTGTATTAGTTTTTATCTTTTAAATTATAACTGGAAACCCATGAGCCGTTGGGTCATCATTTCAGAGATATTTCCTTACCTAAACAGAGAAGCAGAATGACCAAGGGCAAAAAGCAGTGGGAGTGTGAGCAACTTGCAACTGGCTTCCCCATTGACTTTGCTTGTGGGAAGCTGATAGGAAGCATCAGGAAGCATCAGAAATCTTCCTTCCTTCCTTCCTTCCTTCCTTCCCATGTGTAATATAGGCTTGTGCCATTTGCCCTCTGCTCAGGAGAGTCCCAGTGAAGCCTCCTTTTCCTCTTCAGCTGACCTGTGGAACTGCCTGCCACTTTGCTGGGGGGAGGTGGAACAAAGAGAGTCACAGACCATAAGGAAAACTGCACCCCCGCTCCTCATTCCAGCATGTTCCCAAGGGCCCCCTCCCTTGAGGGAGGAAGAGGGCTCACCCGTTGACCAGCCAGCCCTATCTTGCCAGCAAGCACCCAGGTCGCTCCCTCATCCTTCCCTCAACACCCACCACCATTAAGAGATTTCAAATTTCTGCCTTTTTTCCAAAGCAGCCAATCACCACTCACCTGTCGGGCCTTGCCACCAGCCTATTGGGCACAGGGGACAGAGGGAGGTAGGAAAGAGGTCGGGGATATGCCCATGATGATCACGTGACCTGGGCTGACTGCAGCGGCACAGTAGTGCAGCAGTGCTGACACAGCCACAAATTTCCCAAATTTCAATCCCCTGGGAGTGATGGGTCCTGGGTTTTGGACACATTCTGTAAGTTAGCCCATTTGAGGTACCTTGGTTCAAAAATTGTTGCTCTATGATGCACCATTTCACCCAGTTGAAGATTACAGACATGAGAGTCTTAGTAGTATATAGATGTTCAATAAAATTATTATAAAAAATAAAAGACAAGCAACCACAGCAAACTACCAAGGAAGGAAGGATTAGCACAATGTGTGACACACACACCTCTTTGGCAATTAGCCTGGATGCATGTGACACACATACAAAAGTGGCAGAGCTTGAATTGCATGGCCATATTCATCTTGATTTTTTTAACATTCCCTCCTACCTTGGACATCCATGGATTGATAGACAGACAGACACATACATATATATACACATAAACACACAGAGGTAAGAATCTCTGAACTCTGGAACGTGTACCCTGGTAAAAAAAAAGAGTCATAGGTCCTTGATTATGCCAAAAAATGAAATTCTTGAAAACACGTTTCCTTAGCAGAGCCAGGAAAAGTGTTGTTCAAAAATGCAACACCAATATGAAGACATGGTAATTGGTTTTCTAAGAATAGATTTTTCCAGTTATATTTAGTCCACAACAACATCTCTACTTAATTTTGTTAACATTGGTTCTCCCTCTGCCAGCAGCAAATGTCTTTATTATATGTGCCCTGCAGCACAGAGGACTCTCTTAAGACCAGGGCAAGCAGAAGATGTTATTGTGATTAAGGAGTTATCCTAATCCTATTAGGACTCTCTTAATTTCCCCAAAAGGAAACCAACCCTGATTGCTCATTGGAAGGATTGATAATGAAGCTCAAGCTCAGATACTCTGGTCACCTAATGC